TTAGTCTATCTCAAGCTCTATGTGTTTACATATTATTTCTGTGGATTATGTTCAGAAGTTAGTTTTGCTTCCACAGTAAGAGTGAGCAACTTGGCTCATGTATACCTCAGAAATTATTGCTAATTGTTAATATATACTTCATGTTGAAATTTCTTAGACATACACAAGAAAGTAAATACCACATTCGGCCCAGTGATGTTAACTAGTTTCTAAAATGTTATTTATTTTTATTTGTAACAAGCCATTTACTTAAGTCTATGTAAAGGGATACTTTATGCTTAAGGGATAGCAGAGGTTGTTGCTGTTCTATTTATTGTACAGAAAACATGGCCAGATTTTACTTTCCAACTTACTGGAAGCTCTTCCGTGGACCTTGAGCTAATACAATATATCTTTTGTCACCAAAAGAGTATTATTCTTATGTCATAATGAGAACAATAATTTATGTGCTTGGCATAATAAATGCCTAAAAGACATTTTATTTTATAACTGTATTCTTTGTCTTGCTATAATGGGGACATTGTAAATCATGTATTTGTATAATATTGATAGTATGTATTAAAGCAATAGGTGTAACGGTAAACAAAAACATAAAAACACAAAAAGAGCTTCTACAAATAAAAAGGCCAACAGTCTAGTTTTAAAATGAGCAAAAGACTTAAACGACGCTTCATAAAAGAAGATATTCCAATGGCTGGTAAAAATTTGAAAGAAGTTCTATGAAATCAAAACCAGAATGAAATACCAGAATGGCAGGCTGGGCACTGTGGCTCATGCCTGTAATCCCAGCACTTTGGGAGGGCCGAGGCGGTGGATCACGAGGTCAAGAGATCAAGACCATCCTGGCCGATATGAAGAAATCCCATCTCTACTAAAAATACAAAAAAAAAATAGCTGGGCATGGTGATGCAGGCCTGTAGTCCCAGCTACTCGGGAGGCTGAGGCAGGAGGATTGCTCAAACTCAGGAGGCGGAGGTTGCGGTGAGCCAAGATCGTCGAGACTCCGTCTAAATAATAATAAAGAAATATCAGAATGGTGACAAAAAGAATGGCAAGGCCACATTTCATCAAGGGTATACACCAGAACTCATTCATGGCCAATGTGTGATAAACATAACTGCTTTAGAAATCTCTGTAGTAATATTTATTATCACTAAACGCATTGCCTTCCTTGTGATCTGGATATTCTGTTTTCAGTCAGATAACCAAGATAAATGAACACACATGTCCATCAAAAGACAAGAGTATTTATGTCAGCTTTATTCATAACATCCCAAAGTTTCAAACAACCCAAATATCCATTGGCATAGGAACAAATAAATAGCGTGTGGTGTATTCACACAAAGAACTATCATGCACAGCAGTAAAAAGTAATGAATGACTGGTAATGTAGCAATAAGGGTACATCTCACAGACACTGCACTGCGTGAGAGAAGCCGGAGGTTAAATGGATAGTACTGCATGACCACATCTATGCAAAGTGCAAGACTAGGCAAAACTAGGCTTCTGTGGCCAAAGGCTGAATAGTTGGTTACCCAGTGTCGGTACTGACTTGAAGATGGCCCAGCCACTGGGAATTACATAATTATGTATTTGTTATATATAATAATCCAGGTGCTATACATATGCTATTCATATACATACGGTATACACATGCCAAATAGTTCACTGAGCCATACTTTTAAGATTGGTGCATTTTTGTTGTGTGTGCATTATCCCTTGACAGTGCTGTTTTGATTGACAAGGGAAGGGCGCTTTTTCAAAATATGAAACCACGAAACATGTAGCCCAGAAGCACCGTTTTGGGAGTGGGAGGGATGTTTCTCAAAGCAGAACTCGGGGCAGCCACGGAGCAGCGGATGCGCGGTGAAGGGCGCGTGGGCAGCCGGGCTGCTCCGTGGCCTGAGAACTGAAAGGCGCTTCCTGGCAACGCTGCCAGGGTCCCGCCGCCCCTGCCGAGGTGCAGCCCGACCCGCCGCTGCGCGGGCAGCCCAGGTCTTCCCCAGAACCTCCAGAGCCGAGGACCCAGCGCCAAGCCAGGAGCAAAGCAGCGAGCCAGGCTGGAGCTGTTCGTCACTACGGCCGCGTCTGCGCTTCGGTTTTGAGCACCGATCGGTTACCTAACCTCTTAGGACTAACAGCCAGTCTTCTGGTGGCGCTCGCTTTCACCTACTTTTTATTTCCCTTTCTATTCCTGCGAGCTAGGGGGAGCAAGTGTAAATCCCGCCCGCTTCTCCCGGGCTGAAGATGGAGAGGCTGAGGCGGGTTGGAGAGTGCGCACTGCGCATGCTCCGCAGAGCATCCCCGCTGGTCGACCGGGGCGAGGGAGCTACATGAAAGCCTGTGGCTTCTGCTTTGAACAGTCTTAACCTTGCATTTTGCTTTCACACTTAACGCCTAGAAAGCTTGCTTTGATTTTTCCCCAACCTTCCAGTTCATTTAGCTTTAAAAAACAAAATCTCGTTCCAGGAAGAGGGGAGGGGCTTTCCAAGGTAAAATGCTCAGACGTATCAAGTTGAGCTACTCAGTCTAATAAATGAAGCAAAGCATTCCAAAGGCCAGAGGGGATCACCTTGCATTCATCCATAATAGCACGTTGAAATATGCAAGAAAGGAAAAGAATAAAGAGCACAGGGATGTAAAAACGGTATTGCATTTTCTTGTCCACTCATTGAATTGTAAAAATACTAATAACAACAAATCTTAGGACACTTCTTATTTACTGATATTTTACAAAATCACTCAAGTAACAGTCTATTTCTATTATAAACAACTTATGAATATTTTAACTCATGCTCAAAAAAATAAATAATACGGTAAGGAGTCCAAAACTTTCATCAACTAGCCAAACAACAAATGTCTGCTGAGCTCCTCCTCAGGAAGGCAGTATGGTATCGTGATTAGGACTGAAACATTGGAGCCAACTGCCTGGCTTTTAACATCCTCAGTCTACTAGCTGTGTGACCTTGGGGTAAGTGACTTAACTTCTCTGTGCTTTTTCTCTAGATGCAAAACGGAAATAATGTTGTGAGAGTTGCCCTGGCCCATCTTATGTGATCAATGTCGGATGATTATTTTTGCTTATGTTCCTATTACTGTGTTAAGAAGGCAAGCACAAAAGAATTGTTTCTATTTGCAGCATTCTTACAGCACACTCAGGCGCGGTGGCTCACGCCTGTAATCTCAGCACTTTGGGAGGCCGAGGCGAGCAGATCAGTTGAAGTCAGGAGTTCCAGAAGAGCCTGGCCAACATGGTGAAACCCCATCTCTACTAAAAATACAAAAATTAGCCAGGTGTGGTGGTGGGTGCCTATAATCCCAGGTACTCAGGAGGATGAGGCACGAGAATCGCTTGAACCTGGGAGGTGGAGGTTGCAGTGAGTCCAGATGACACCACTGCACTCCAGCCTGGGCGACAGAGTGAGACTCGTCTCTTATGTGGAGATGACATATTTCTATAAGCAATGAAGGAACAATAAATCATCATCTAATTGATTTTTAAAGTACTCAGATTTCGGCACAGAAAATTAGAGATTAGGGCAGAGTATGATAAATGCTCATATTCCCCTGAAGCCTACAGGTGTGGTACAGGTGTTGGAGGTGGAAGAATGCAAGCGTCAGAGTCTTCATGAAAGAGGGGACCTTATAGGCCATGTGCACCTAAGTAGGAGGGATGTGCTGGGCAGAGGAAGATAAGAATGCCAGAAAGAGTTCTGGAAAGAGGGGAGCTGGGCGAGTTCAGCACCGCACAGAGACAGAAAGGTGATGCCAGGGAGATGACAGCTCCACTGTTGAAAAACAATATTGTCATTAACAACTGCACTCCACTCCACTTCATGCCTATCCAGAAACGAGGGGGAACACACCAGAGGAATACAGGCCCATGTCACCATGCTCAGCTAATTCTTTAGTATTTTTTGTAGAGACAGCATTTTTGCATACTACCCAGACTGGTCTTGAACTCTTGGGCTCAAGTGATCCGCCTGCCTCGGCCTCCCAAAGTGCTGGGGTTACCGGCGTGGGCCACTGTGCCTGGACGAACAAAGCTATTTGACAATATTAAAGAAACAGTTATCACACCCTTACATAAATCTATGAATAGCACTTACAAAATATTTTCTAAGAATTTTTTGGGAGTGATAGAAATGTAAGATTCTTAGTGGATTTGCTACACTGTTGAGATTGCAATACTTACATGGTGTAAGACTAACTTTCTGAATGATTATGACAAATGAAATCGTAAATGCCATTTTTGGTTTTCGGAATATGAAAATACATGGGATGAGGCGCACCTCATGCTTCCGCCAAACGGAATGTTTTTGGTTTCTTGCCTTAGGACCTACCTAGCTCCTACCTTTAACATTCCTTTCTACCTCTACTGTTTATTGCTACGTGTTAGTCTCTCTTTTCTGTAAGAAAGGCATAGATCTGGAGTGCTTTTTTCCAAATATTCCCGCAGAAAGCCACCTTTCCAAGCACAGAATCTTATCAGTGCCCAGGAGTTCAGCCGACTTAGCACGAAGAGTGCGATGAAAGGGCTGCTTTCAGCAAACCGTCTCAACCCCGGGCGACGGCGGCCACGGGAGGTCAGGGAGCGCTGGAGGAAACCTGCACGGGGTAGAAACGGCCGGAGGAAGGCGGAGCGCGGGCTGGCTCTCAAGGTGCCCACCCCGGGGACCTCTCTTCAGGCTCCCTGCGGGATCCCCAGCCTCCCCTCCCCCTCGGAGCTCCGCCCCCTTCCTGGCCTCAAACTCCGAGTCCATTCAAACCTCGCCTTCCTCGCCCTGCGCGTTGTCAGGCGTGTAATTGGGGAAACTCCTCCCCGCCGGGACCGCCTCAGAGGCGCTGCCAGAGGACAGCCGCCCGCCTGCCCCCGCCTCTCAGCGCGGCGACCGCACAGCGCTCACAGCCCGGCCTGGGCACCCGCGCCCGCTCGCTGCTCCAGGCGGGGTGGGCGGCGCCGCGCCAGGGGGTCCCCGGCGCCCATTGCTCCCCCACCCGGCCGCGCGGACCGGCGCCACTGTGCGGGCGGGGGCGGCGCGCCGCGGGGGGCCGGCGTCCCGTGTGCGTCCCGTGTGCGCCCCGCGGGGGCGCGGCCAGCGCCGGAGTAGACTCCTGTCCCGCCCGCCGCCAGCAGCCTCGGAGGAAGCCGGGGCAGAGAGGGCCGGCGGGGACGAGGTCCGCGCTGCAGGAAGCCGCGCCCGGCCGAGGCCCCGAGCTCCACGGCACCATGGCCCCGAAGCTGCTGCTCCTCCTCTGCCTGTTCTCGGGCTTGCACGCGCGGTAAGTGGCGCGGGGGCCGCATCCCCGGAGGCCCCGAGCTGGGCGACAGGGCGGCGGGGGGCGCTGTCTGTCGGAGTCCCTGGCGCGCCAGCCGTCGGCTGGGCTGCGGCACGGCGGGCCGGGAGGGGACGGGGAAGTCGGCCCACACCTCACCTGTCCCAGCTCCCTTAGACTGCTTTCTCCTCTGCAGCCGGGAGTGTGGGGACTCAGATTAATGGCTCGTCTCCTGAGGCTTTTAGGATCTGGTGATTTTAAGGGGTTTTGAAAACCAGGATCATGGGGCAGGGGCCATTTCTGGCTCCTTACCGACCCCTAATTCCCACCTCAGCTGTTTCAGGGGCTCTCACACACACACACTTTGGCTGACATTCTCTGTCATTTCCATCACTCTGAAATTTCCAAGAACCCAGGAACCGTGGTTCTAACTGCCCAGTTTAGACCGGGCTGGAAAGAGCTAATGCATTGGAGGCAGGTGCGGGGGGATTGGGACCAGGTGGGCAGCAGAAAGCCCTGCTTGTCTGAGAGGACTCCCCTGCCAGGTCCTGCAAACACACACACACGCACACCTACCTACCTTCCAGATCAGCCACTGTCACACACAGGAACACACGCACTCCCACCCCCATAAAGCACGCATGTTGAAATGGATAATAAGGCTTCTGCCTGGTAATGTAAGAAATTATCTCACCATAAATTCCGCAACCTTCCTCCCAGCACACCAGCCAGCTAATGGGAGCTTAGAATCACTCCAGAGGAGACTAAGAGGGCGCATGAGGATACGAAGACAGTGGGACCCAAAGGGTTAAACCCTGTTGCTGTAAACACAACTGGAGATTCTGGGTTTAGTTTCTTTAATTCTGTCTCTCTGGCTGGATCTCTGGCTAGAACTTGCCGATTGCCCTGTGATTTAAAAATCGGAGCAGTGTCTGGCCTTCCCCTTTCCCCACCCTAGGAAGCTCAGCGTGCCCCTAGCCCCTAAACCCTCTTGTTTTGACGCTTCTCCATTTCCTGGCTCTGGGAGCCAGAGAATCAGAGGGCGTCCTTGCGCGCACAAGCCTGGCCACCATCAGGCCTTTTCATTCATATTTGTGAACTCTCAAGGAGCTAGGAAGACACATGAATAAATCCTACTACACATCAAGGGGCCCCCAGTTCTCACTCCTGAACTGGGCAGAGGAGCTTACCCTGAGGGAGGAAGCCCTGGCCGTCCCCCTTACCACTGCTCCTCTTTGCTGAGTTGAGTGTGGAAGCCGACTCCACCGGTGACTCACCGGCAACTCTTTCAAAGAGACAGAGCACTCCTTGGGCCTTTCAGCTGAAGTTTCTTTCTATCTAAAGAGGCAGCTGGTGAAAGAGATGGAAATATGCTTTCTGAGGTTGCTTATTCCTGGTTGTGTCTCTGTTTAGAGGCAGAGAGGGAGGTAGACAGCACCGGGCGTAGCGTTGAGGCCAGCAGTCATATCTCTGCCACCTTTCTATTGCCACCAACTCAAACGAGTGACCAGCCCTTCGGGTTCAGTAATCAACTGTTTAGATCTCTGGATTCTTAACATTCTAGAAGAAACACAGACTATCGTCCTCACTACTGCATGTGCTTAGTAGGAAAATACCTTAGCCTCTGCCTTAAAACAGTCCTGTTACTGGGGATTCCCAAATATACGCAGAATCTCTTGGGATTCTTCATCCTTCCATTCTGCGAAGACAGACATAATGATTTTCATTTGTTCTGTATTTGGGTTGGTTTCCCAGCTTTCATAATAGAGCTTGCAGATCAGTTAAAAAATCCAAATTTTATACTAACTTTATTGCTATATGCCTCTTCTTTGAGAGTGTCTTTGTTCTCTGAATGGGTTGCACAGACATGTGAAGCAATCTGATGTGCAGTGTCATCTTTCCAAACTGTTTTGAATTCGGAGGGGGTTCTCATTTGCACTCTGAGTTCCTTCCTGCTGTGGAAGTTCCTTGGATGAGGGTCTGATGTCTGTGCTTTGTGGTGATGGCTCAGCAGCTCCCCAGGAGGGGGCCTCCCCATTTTGACACCCATGGGCTTCATAAAACGCACCGATTCCCACTCAGACCTTGGTGATGCCTTAACTGCTTTCTGAGGTTTAGGAACTCCTTTTAATGTTTAAAAATACTTCAGACTTTTTCTCGGTCCTTCTGCTTTAAGCAAAGGTGTAAGACATGAAGATAAGATCTGAGGGTTGAGTTGTTTTTTGACAATGACAATACATCACTGATTTATTTTTAAGAAAAAGCTAATTGCAGTAATGGTGTTTAGGATCCAACAGTGCAAGTAACAGTGCTCATAAAGACTATATATAATTCACTTAGAATTTAGGGAAAGAAAATATTTCTGTATTATCCACATTCTAATGGGTCCTCTGAGATGAGATTTCGTTTTCACGAAAGCAAAGATTTTCCTGTGGGCCTGGTGGTCTGGCACTAGCAATGTGAGGCTTCTATTTCATTTTCAGGATTTGAGGGAGAAGGGTGCTCACAGCCCAGGGACCTAGAGCATCTCGGCCTCACTCTTCCCCCTGCCTACCCAACCAGGTTACACAGCTGGGGCCCTGATATGCCTGCTGAAGGGGTGGAAGAGAATGTTTGCTTGCTTTGTCTTGGTCCCCCTCACTGCCACCTGTACTGGCCTCTAAGGAGGAAGCTCTTGCAATTTCAGGAGAACCCTCTCATCGCCACTAGAGGGAGAATTAGGCTTGTTAGAATACCTGTAAGTAGCTGGAAGTAATTTTCAAAAACGAAGGCTGCGTATACAGAGAATGATGAAAAGCTGGTTACTGTGCTCGGTTTGTGTGTATGTGACTATCAGGGCCATAGACAATAACAGACTGTGGAGTCTGTGGTCTGGCTCTGTAGTGGTGGGGGTAGGAGAGGGGAGGAGAATGGGAGGGGAGGGGAAGAAGAGAGAGGGTAAGAGACAGAGACAGCAGAGAGAGGGAGGAAGGCACCTGGGCTGAATCGCCAAGTGTCCTGAGCATGTTGTGCCAGATTCTGCTGAGATGAGCTACCAGCCTCTCCTCACTGCTCCAGATGCCCTTGCTCTGTAGTGATTTGCCCTGTCCTGTGGGCAGTGCTTGATTCCCAGCTATCTAAATGCTTCAACCTGCTCTTTAAGTTTTAAAAAAATTTTGCAAGATGATAAAATTAACATTTCTGATAATACTCCTGATGACACAAAATATTTTAATTTTAAAATTTATTATTATTATTATTATTATTATTATTCTTGTTTGAGATGGAGTCTTGCTCTGTTGCCCAGGTTGGAGTGCAGTGGCACTATCTCAGCTCACTGCAACCTCTGCCTCCTGGGTTCAAGCAATTCTCCTGCCTCAGCCTCCCAAATAGCCAGGACTACAGGCATGTGCCACCATGCCCAGATATTTTTTTTGTATTTTTAGTAGAGACAGGGTTGCACGCTGTTGGCCAGGCTGGTCTCGAACTCCTGATCTCAGATGACCCACCCACCTCAGCTTCCCAAAGTGTTGGAATTAGAGGCATGAACCACCATGCCCGGCCAGATGACATGAAATATTTTAGAGTAACATTTAAAATTCTGTAGTATTACTTGTAAATGTTCACTTTTATAAATAATGAAATGCAACATATTCCTTACTGAATATGTGCCCCACATTTAAAAGTTCCTATCGATCATGAATATCAAATGTGCATAAAAATCAACAGCCATTTATAGTTTCTGTGGATGATTTAATTTAACCTTCTAGCCAATAGGTACTCAAGGAATAGAATTACAGTTTAAGATCAGCGTAGGAAAAACGTAAGTGGGGAAGTCATTCTTTGAGACATATGCCGTATACTCATTGTCAAGATCTCTCGTTTATGTACATGCTCATCTAGGTTTAGACTATCTGGCCAATACTCTAGTCTACATTATGGCTAGTTAACACACTTTAAAAGACTCATGTATATATTACATAAGTATGCATATGTGTATATATGAAGACCTGAATTCAGTAGCAAAAATGAACGTGAAAATTTTTTTTTAAGTTAACATCTTGTGAATGATAGATAATTTAGACAATTCTCAAAATTAAGTTCAAGAAACTCACATCCCAGAGCAAGAGTGTCCTGACATGACACTAACATTCTGGCTCCCATCTGGGAAGCTAAACAGAAAAGAGTTCGTATCCAGTCAGGACAAATCTGCCTCCGTGCAGTTTTCGATTCTTTTTATTATTCTCTTCTGTGAAGAGAAAGTTACTAAAGCATGCACACTGACAAACTAGAAAGGAAAAGGTTGGTTTACTTCACATGCTTTCTTGCTGGGGCCAACGGTAGTCTGCCTGGAAATGCTGCTTTAAGGCAGAAAGAGACTGTCTGCTCTCTAAGCCCACGTGACTATAGTGTTGAGATGGCCTCACTCATTGAGAAAACCACCTTGTCAAGTACAAGTGTGTGTCAATTATAAACCAATTTTTTTTTTTTAAACCGAAAACTGGGCCGGGCGCGGTGGCTCACGCCTGTAATCCCAGCACTTTGGGAGGCCAAGGCGGGCGGATCACAAGGTCAGGAGATCGAGACCATCCTGGCTAACACGGTGAAACCCCGTCTCTACTAAAAATACAAAAAATTGAGCCAGGAGAATGGCGTGAACCCAGGAGGCAGAGTTTGCGGTGAGCCGACATCGTGCCACTGCACTCAAAAAAAAAACAAAACAAAACAAAAACCAAAACCGAAAACTGCAGAACCAAAAAAATAAAAAATAAAAATAAAAAAAAATTAAAAAGTAAAACTAGCTGGTCATCCTGAGGCCTCTCCATTCAGGCACTCCTGTCAGTGCGTGTCACCCGGGAGAGGAGGCTGTCCAGCTCCTCTCTGCACAAAACAAGCTCAGAGATGCCCAGGCGTTCACTGAGACTCATTTACTAAGAAGTCAGAATGTTGAAGATGTATTCGAAAGCGTAGTTTTTCACGTCTGTGTTAGCCTGCTGTGCAGAAGATGAATCGGTTTGTGTGGACCGAGGCGTGTAAGATTGCCAGAGGGTCTTCACTAGTCACCTGCAGACATCTCTGTCCTTGCTTCCAACCTGAGTGCCGGCAAAGCAGACCCCCTCACAATGTCCAAGTGTCTAGACCCCCAGATTCCCGCCTCCAAGAGAAGCACAGAGTCAGACTCAACTATTTTGAATGAGTCCAGTCTGCAAAAGCTAATCTCACCTCCAACTAAAATGAGGTCTTGGTGGTCGGGGTGGAAACAACATGATACAATCCCCGAATGGAAAACCTCTAGAAGGTTTGTGCCTTGGCCTTCACAGTCTCTCGGGGTGGATTCAAGGGTCGTGTTGCCTGCTGGTTAGCCCTCTGGTATTGTTTACCTGCCACGTTGTCTGTGGTTTAACTGGGATGGGGGATGGTCTTGTGACATTTAATATAAACCTTGTTAATAGCAGTAGCATTCTTCCTATGGAATCATTCCTGTTTTGTGTTTCTTTCTTTTTTAAAAAATTTTTCGGGGTTTCACGTGTGTAGTTGGGCTGTGGGTACTGGGGACTTTCTACCCATTTCATGGTACTTGGATAGGACAAACTTAGGCTCTTCCTAGAACCATTGCTGCCACTTACTTGTCGCATTTTTGTGCTATAACTCCAGGTCCAGAAAGGTGGAAGAGGATGAATATGAAGATTCGTCATCAAACCAAAAGTGGGTCTTGGCTCCAAAATCCCAAGACACTGACGTGACTCTTATTCTCAACAAGCTGCTAAGAGAATATGATAAAAAGCTGAGGCCGGATATTGGAAGTGAGTGTTGTTTCTTGTTATTCTGATAGAAAAATATTCTGTAGTGATAGGTTTTAAAGTTTTAACTTTTGAGTAATTGTAAATTCCAAGAGGATGGCAAAGACAGTACAGAAAGGTCTCCTGTACTTGTCACACAATAGATAACTTAGTGGGATACCAAACCAGGAAACTGACATTGGTGCCATTCAGGAGCATGGCTCTGTGTCATTTTACCCCATGTAGGCTTATGTGACGATCCTTGAAATCAAGATACAGAACCCTCATCAAGCAAAAGTGGATCTTGTATTCCCCTTGCTATCCCTTTACTGTCACATCTGCTTCCTTCCCCCCAATTTCTAACCATTGTCAGCCTCAAATTTGTTCAATTTGTTCCTTATTTACTTTTTATTTATTTACTTTTTGTCACTTTGAGAATGTTACATATATGGAATCATTGGCCTTTTGAGACTGGCTTTTTTTTTTTCTTCCCCAGCAAAATGATTTTGAGATTCATTCAAGTTGTTACACATGTCAGTAGTTTGTTCTTTTTTACTGCAGAATATTTATTCGTGGTATGAGTGTATCACAGCTTCTTTAGCCATTCATCTATTGGGGAACATTTTGATTGTTTCCTGTTTTTGTCTATTGCAAATAAAATGACTGAGCACATTTGTATACAGGTTTCTATGTGAGCATAAGATTGTATTTTCTGGGATAAATGCCCAGGAGTACGATTGCTGGGTTGCATGGCAGAAGTATGTTTAATTGCTTAAGGCACCGTCTTATACACTATTTTTCGTTTCCACCAGCAATATCTGAGAGATCCAGTTTCTTTGTGTCCTCACCAGCAACTAGTATTTCCACTATTTTTTATTTTAGCTGTTCTAATAGGTATATATTTAATAGGTTGATATCTCATTGTTGTCTTAATTTGCATTACCCTAATTGTTAGTGATACTGAACTCCTCTTTTATTTATTTTTTTGCCATCAGTATATCCTTCTCATTGAGTTGTCTCTTCATCTTATTTGCCCTTTTAAAAATTGGATTATTTTATCTTATTTTATTTTTTTACTGCTGAGATTGAGAGTTCTCTATATATCCTAGGTATGATCCTTTATGTCAAATCCATAGCTCTTTAATCCTTTTAATAGCATCGTTCACAGAGGAAACGTTTTCAATATTGACAAAATCCAATTTTATTGATTTTTCTTTTATGGAGCATGCTGTTAGAGTATTGTCTAAGAATTCTGTATGAAGCCCTAGCTCTTGAAGATTTTCTCCTTTGTGTTCTTCTGAAAGTTTTATAATTTCATCCCTTACATTTTAATTTGTTAACTGTTTTGATTTTTATATAAAATCAAAATGTAAGATTTAGATCTAATTTATTTTCCCCCACCCTCCATGGATGCCCAATTACTCCAGCACCATTTGTTGGAGAGACTATCCTTCCTTGACTGAATTGCTTTTATGAAGTTGTCAGAAATCAGCTGACTTGACTGGTGTGGGTTATTCCTGGTTCTTTGTTTCGTTCTGTTTTATCTGTGTGTCTGTCACTCTGTCTATACCCACATTTTTTATTACCATAGCTGTATTATGTCTTCAAATTTTATCAAGTAATTCAACCTCTTTATTCCTCCTTTTCAACATTAACTCATCTTAACTTCTTATAGTTCATATGCTTTTGATATAAATTTTAGAATAATTTTTTCTGTAACTACAGAAAAATTCTGCTGGGATTTGGTAAGAGTTTGTTAAGTGTAGGTATCAATCTGGAAAGAACTGGCGTCTCCACCATGTTGCATCTTCCAATCCGTGCATATGACAGGTCTTTTCATTATTTAGACCTTCTTTATGTTCTTATATCATTATATCAGTGGTTTCTACTTTTCAAGAGATATGTCCTGAATGTATTTTGTTAGATTTATGACAAAGTATTGTGTTTTGGAGTGATTGTGAATAGTACTGTATTTTCACATTTCATTTTGCCTGTGTTAGTTGCTAGTATAGTAAATACAATTGATTTTGGGATGTTGATGTGTTCTCTGACTTGCTGAACTTATTAGTAATAGAAGTTTGGGACTTTTTTTTGGTTTTGTTTTGGTAGGTTCCTTGGCATTTTCTATGTACACCATCATTGTCATCTGCAAATAGGGAGAGTGTTCATTCTTGCTCTCCAATCTGGGTATCTTTTATTTATTTTTTCTTGCCTGTTGCCCTGGCTAGAACTCCCAACACTATGTTGAACAGCAGTGGTGTGAATGGACATCTTTGTCTTGCTCCAGATCTTGGGGCAAAGCCTTCAGTCTTTTCCCATGAAGTGTGGTATTAGCTGGCGGTATTTTGTACATGTTCTTTATCCACTTGAGAAAGTTCTGTCTATTCCTAGTTTTCTGATACATTAAAAAAAAAGTTTCACGATACTTAAAAAATCATGAATGGGCCTTGAATTTCACCAAAGGCTTCCTTTTACTGCATCAGTTGGTATGATTATATGATTATTTCTTCAGTCTGTCAATACGGTGGATTATATTAATTGATTTTCAAATATTGAATCAGTATGGTATCCCTGGAGTAAATCCCACTTAGTCATGGTGTTTAATAATACTCTTTTAAGGCCGGGCGCGGTGGCTCAAGCCTCTAATCCCAGCACTTTGGGAGGCCGAGATGGGCGGATCACGAGGTCAGGAGATTGAGACCATCCTGGCTAACACAGCGAAACCCCGTCTCTACTAAAAATACAAAGAACTAGCCGGGCAAGGTGGCGGCGCCTGTAGTCCCAGCTACTCAGGTGGCTGAGGCAGGAGAATGGCGTAAATCCGGGAGGTGGAGCTTGCAGTGAACTGAGATCCGGCTACCGCACTCCAGCCTGGGCAACAGAGCGAGACTCCGTCTCAAAAAAAAAAAAAAAAAACCTCTTTTAAAAACCTCCTTTTGTATATTGCTGAATTCTATTTGCTAATATTTTGTTAAGGATTTTTGCATTTCCATGTTTAAGGGACTATTTTTTCAGTCTTGGGTAATAGGAGCTTTATACAATGGGTTGGGAAGTACTCCCTCATCTTCGGTTTTCTAGAAGAGATTATATAAGGGTTTGTGTTGATTCTTTAAATGTTTGATAAAATTCTCCAGTGATACCCTCTGGGCCAGGAGATTTCTTTTCTGGGAGTTTTTTTCATTTCCTTAATAAGTCTATTCAAATGATCACTTTCATATTAAAGTTGTGGTGATTTTTTCAAGAAATTGATCCATTTCTTTTAAGTTGTCAAATTTATGTGTTTAGCATTGTTCATGATATTCCCTCATCATCTTTTGTGATGTCTGTAGGACCTATAATAATATCCCTGCTTCATTTCTGATACTGGTAACTGGTGTCATCTTCCTTTTTTTGTCAGTCTTGCTAGAGGTTTATTTTATTGACCTTTTTAAAGAACCAACTTTTTGTGTGGTACTTTTTCTGTTATTTTTGTTCCCAATGACATCAGTTTTGCTTTTATACTTATTATTTCCTTTATTTTTCTTGCTTTGGGCTTATTTTGGTTTTCTTCTTTTTGAAGTAGAACTTAGAGTCTTTGATTTGAGACTATTATTTTCTTATGTAAGGAACTTTTCCTTTCTGTAATTCTTTAACTTCATCCCATGAATTTTGTTATGTCATATTTTCATTTTCATTCAGTTCAATGTGTTTTTAAATTTCCCTTGAAATTTTTTGCTTTAACTCATGAATTATTTAGAAGCCTGTCTCATAGGGGAACAGCAGACACTGGGGCCTATTTGGGGGTGGAGGATTGGAGGAGGGAAAGGATCAGGAAATATAACTAATGGGTACTTGGCTAATTACCTGAGTGATAAAATAATGTGTACAACAAACCTCCATGACATGAGTTTATCTATATAAGAAATCTGCACATGTACCCCTGAAGTTAAAATAAAAGTTTAAAAAAAAAAAACAAAAAAAAAACAAGCTTGGTCTCATAGAGAACTTTCATCCCAATAAGGACGTGATTTTTCAACTGAAAAACATTCCCAAATTTTACTCTTAAAGAGGGAGATCGATCATTGTGTTTTAGGTTTTGAAATGGAATTGTTTCCAAATTTTGACTTTTGTGAATAAAACTGCTGTGAACATTTCTGTACAAAAAAAGAGAAGTGTGTTTTTAGTTTCCAAGTACTTGGACATATTCCTATTGTATGTTATGGATTTCTAGCCTGATTCCACTATGATCAGAGAATATACTCTGTATGAGTTTAATTCTTTTAAATGTGTTAGTGTTTGATTTGCCATCCAGGATATGGTCTATCTTGGCAAATGCTCCATGGCCTTGAGAAGAGTATGTATCCCGCCATCAATGGATGGACTGGATCCTGTTGTCTGAATGTGTTGTTCAGTTCTATATCCTTGCCTATTTTCTGTCTAGTTTTCTATGGATTATTTGAATAGATTGACAATTGATAGATCAAAAAGTAGATTCTGACCCAAGAGAGGAGTGGTATATTTGGCCAGGAGAGAAGTGGCACATACAATTGCTGGTACAGACACTCACAGGCCTTGTGGTGACCTGTGTAAGGGGAAGGGGGGATTGCAGCAGACACACCATCGGTGGGATGTGCCTGACCGTGGCTTGCTGTTTCTCTTCCGGGAGGCTCCACTGCCTGACAGCTTGCTAGTGCTCACACTGCCCAGGCACACTGTCCCTCCATTTTTCCAAGCCCAGGACTCCAGCATGTCTGTAGCAGGATCTAGAACTATGCTGGCTCCAATAGCCATAGAATTTCAAAATCCATGTGTGTGGTGTGGGAGACTGTGAAGATGCGTGTCTAGTGCAGTGTTGGAGGAATGTCATCCTTCATGCCTCAGTCGCCTCTCCCATGCAATGAAGGAGAGGGACTAAAATGACTCTTAACTTTCCTTCCAGCTTTAAAATATTTCGTCAGAGTGATATATCTAAATTCCCATTGCACAAGTTCACAAATTCAATTGTCATCATGGTGTTTGCATCCTAATGAGATAGAAAATCTTTC